GGGAATCATGCAACCTAAACCCAAAAGGTCAGGTGGCCAATGAAGGTCTGAAGTAGATCTTGAGGACCCATCCCCCACCCCCAGTCACCCAGTGCCTTGTTCTGGGCCAGTGCACACACTTGCCAGGCACTTGGGACTTTGAAATCTATTCCATTTCTCAGATGACTGCTGGACCTGGTCGTTCTCTGGGCCCTGACTATAGGACATGCTCTGGTATAGGAAGAGGTCTATCCTTGACTTCACACACAAACCTTGGCTTTAGAGGGCGTATTACCTGGGGCACAAAAATGACAGGCCTTGCACCCCTCAAGCGCAGCCACATCTCGGGTCCCATGCAGCCATGCTGCTGTCTGATCAAAGTGAGCCATCTCAATGTGCACAGCCCCTGGACCAGGAGGCAGGAGGGTGGAGTTACACAGGTCAGGACTTGCCTTTAATTCACTCTGTGACCTTCTTTGAGCTCACTATTCTCTTCTTCCCAAAATAAGACTGGCCAGTGAAACCCCAAGGCAGATTCTTCTGCAGCTCTAGTTCTGAGTTGTTCTCAGTTGTCCCAGTATCTATAGCCAACACTCTCCTAGTAGGCCCAGCAGCTCCAGTCAGAGGATAAGGACTTGGCCAAAGGTTGGTGGCAGTATAATCCTACTTGTTAGGATGGCATAGTTTGTACAGGTGTAGTAAAGTTTTGTTGTTTATCCAAAAATGGTGCTATCAAGTCTCAGTTCATAGTACTGTAGGTAAATATGGCTCAAATTATCTTGTGATTGAGCTGAGACAGAGGTGGGTGGACCTGGGGCTCATCTAGATGCCCATTCCCTTGGAGTTCCCTAGGCATAATCAGCCTGTCAGACTTAGTCTAGGTCCTGGAATAGCTGCTTTCCTCATAGGATGGTGGCAGCTGTACTCCTGGAGACCTAGAAACAAGGACCTACACAGAAGTCAGCAGGTTGTCATGCTTGCCAGACCTTGTAAACACTGGTACTATGCAGAGAGAGTTACAGGCTGTACAATCAATGAAGTGGGCAGTAGCCAGCACAGTCTGGTCTGCCTTGGAGTGGGTATCTTGGGACACTGAAGCAGGGAAGACAGGGATCTGGGAGACCTGGTCTCTTCTGACTCAGCTTCACAATAAAGGTCTGAAGCCAGAGCTGAAGTCTGCAGGAAGTGGTTTGACGAGTAGGGCAGGCAGAGGCTCGTGAGGCTGGGAGCAGTCTGAGCTCTGCAGGCAAAAGCAGGTGAGTATAGGGGAAAAGCAAAGTAGAGAAGGCCCCTAACCTCTTCTGCCCTTAACCTTCCAAGTCCATTGTTCAAACCACAGAGCCCTACTCTCCCCAGATTGGAAGGATGGAAATTGTTTCTCCACACCCTCGAAAAATACCTACCTGGTGCTCACCAGACTTGAGCAGGTGCCTTTAGGACATTTTCAGCAGTGCAGCCCCTTTTTTGCTCGGTAGTAAATAATCCCGCTACAGCAAACATCCAGGGAGAGGTGAACTGAAGCCTTCACAGGTAGTTTGTCCTTTCTGCTTCTGCATAAGGGACAGGAGTGCCCTTGTGCCATCTTGAGGTTTTACTCTGAAAATGCTTTAAGATTTCCCCTTTTCCCTCCCCTTGGTTTGTGCAAAAGAAGGACTGTTCTGGCCTCCACTGAAACCTACCAGGAGGCTGGCTGGCTGGCCTTCCTCTGTTGGTGCAGATGCCTAGGCATGGGGCAAGGGCAGTTGAGACGATAGGTCTTCCTGCTCTGGAAAAGCTGTTATCTCCACTTCTCAGGAGGTGCTAAGTGATCTTAACAGTTGGGGGTCGGTCAGCCCTGGGTGCCACGTCTGGGCTGTGATGGACAGGGTACTGCCTTCTTGCTCCTTGGTGAAGCTCCTTGCTGCTGCTTACTGAAAGCCCCAGGCATTAGAACCCTCTTGGGGGCCCCCGCTTTCTGTTTGCTTCTCCTCAGCTCTCTTGGGTCAGGACTGCACAGATGCACTCACAAGTGTGCACAAATAAGAAGGACCTAATGAGGCTCTGTTACCACATCAGAGCATCTTATTAATCATTTAAAAAGTCCAAGCTAAGCAAGTGGTTTTAGATGCCAGACTGATAGAGAACTGGAGCCTTTACCCAAGGAGGCCTCTACTCATATTTCCTGCAGGTCATCCCTGCACTGGTCCACTTGCTCACTGCCTGCCCAGAGCCAGGTTTCTGAGAAGCCCACATGAGTGGCACCTCTGAGGTTATATAGCATGGCCCTGGGAACAAGGGGCTACTGTTTGAGATCACTTCCAGAAAAAAGGCAAGAAGGGGGTCACTGCCAGAAATGGCTCGGCTCCTCCCAAAACTGCTCTGCATCTGAAATACAAGGCTTCCCTGGGCCTTTGTGGCCTAGTCTGGGCCTCCAGGTTACCTGCATGCTTGCTCTCCCATCCCTGTCCCCTACCTCAGCTCCTGCATCTTTGTGACAAAGCTTTGGGCACCTGCCCCTTTGCAGACTCCATACTGGACTGGGTTGAGAATACCGAGGGTTGTTTCAGATGAGTGTCTGTAGCAGTGAAGAACGCTGGACTTGACTGACCCTCACCCTAACTGTAGTCCCTTCCTGCATGGGGTCAGGGCACAGGCCCCTAACACTGGCTGAGGGTAGTATGAGACACCAGGTAGTGATGAGAAGTTAGCATTTGGCCCATGTGAGTAATAGCCAGTCTTGGGCCCTACATCCTTTGTACCCGGTCTGGCCACAGGGGGGCGCTTGATCTCCAAGAAGGAGCCAGAGCTCAGCAGGCATTACAGGCACCAGAGCCTCTTCACTGACCAAAAACTGACTGCTGATTTTGCTTAGAAGGGCACTACCTGCTTCGCCCCTATCCATTGCTCTTCTGACTAGTCCTTTTTTCCCTTAAAAAAAGAAAAAAAAAAAGCCAGGTGTGGTGGTGCATACCTGTAATCTCAGCACTCTGAAGCTGAGGCAGGAAGACTGCTGTGAGTTCAAGGCCAGCCTGAACTACACAGCAAGACCCTGTCTCAAACAACAACAACAACAAAAAAAACTTGTATTTAAAAATACTCTCTGACTTATAAAGATGGTACAGTTTGTGTATACAGTTTAGTATCTTTCCAAAACCATGGCTCTGTTCATCTCTTAATGCTGTGGGTTGTTCCTGATACTGGAGAACACTTCAGTAAACAGAGCAGGAGACCACAGGACCTGACATAAAGCAACAAAGCCCAGGGAAGGCCTGTGTGTAAATCAAGGTGACTATTTCCAGAGTGGCAGGGAGAATATGAGGATGGGGTTGTTTAAGGAGCTGTGCAGTCCACTGTTTCATTTCCCTTTCCAAAGCAGCCCATTGCAGGACCGAAGAAGCCTGGGAGGAGAGGTCATCTGAGCAAATAACTCTGCCTGGGCCTTCCTACTGCAGTGGTCCAGGGGTGGGGTCTGACTTGGCATGAGAAAGGACTTCTTCCTAACCCATTTTCTACCCCAGGCTTGCCAGGAGGTGTTGGGGTCTTGAAGGCCTGGGTTCTTCTTGTGCCTGGTTGTGTGCTGAAGCAAGAGATAATCTGTTAAGCCTCAGGTTCCCTACCAGTGTGGCCTATTCTCAGGGCTCATGTGAGGGTGTAACTGGGAACATAACTTACTGTCTCAGAATAAACAGGTTGGCCTCTCCTCTCTGACCAAGCTTCCATACTGTGGGTCATCTCTCAGACCCAGATACATTTGCCTGGGTTGCTGTGTGGGGCCACACGAAAGTGCACTGGGATTAAGCCTTTGCCCCAGACTGGGCATGGTATAACCTGTAAATCCAGCTACTTTGGAGGCTGAGGCAGAAGGATCAGAAGTTTAAGGTCAGTATAGGCAACATGGCAAGACCCTGTCTCAAAAAAAAAAAAAAAAAAACA